TATATATATATATATATATATAAAAGTATGTGTGTATGTCCTGTGCGTAACTATTTAAGGAAACTGGAATTTTAAAGTTAACTTTTATAAAAGCAAAGAATATATGCTGCAGATACAAGACATGATTTGGTTCTATATTTCTAGTCATTATGAATGTATTTTGAATACCATCTTCATATAATAAAATTAACTTCCAAAAACATATTTTCTTCCTGATTCACTTGTAAGTGAAAAGGAGGGTCTGAAGTTTCCCTGCGGCTGGGGGAACTGGTGTTCTGGGAGGTGTCACAAGGAAGACAAAGCAAACACTGCTAAGGAGAGGTCAAAGAGCCTTCTATCAGTACTACAAAATGGCTGCTCTAACCAATCAAGACACTGCAAATAGTAAATAAAAAACAAAATCTAACTAGGCAGGTTGCCCAGAAAACTAAACACTAAAATTAGTAAGATCACAAAACAAGTAAAACATACAAGTGTGAGTGCTGGCTGGTAGAGGCACTCTTTCCCAACCACTAATTTTCAGCAGACACACAATTACCATAATTACAGGGTGTATGTGTTGTGCACGTGTGTTAGAGGTTGGATATAGGAAACCATACAAAATAATTGGGTAAAAGCCTAAGACACAGGAACTTCCCTAAGAGAAGCACACCAGCTAACTAGTCTTCAGTTTCATTTTGTGGATTACATTCTGTTGTTGGGTGCTGTGGAGTTGATTCTAACTCATAGCGACCCTATAGGAGAATAGAACCGCCCCATAGGGTTTCCAAGGCTGACATCTTTACCATTGTGAGGGTGGCCAAGGACCAGACAGTGTTTCGTTCTGTTATACATAGGGTCGCTATGAGTTGGAACCGACTTGACGACACCTAACAACAATAATCATTACAAGAGCAGACCGCCAGGTCTTCTCCCTCGGAGCCACTGGTGGGTTCAAATTGCCAACCTTTCAGTTAGCAACCAAGCACTTAACCACTGCACCACCAGGGCTCCTTTCGATTACATCCTAGGAAGAAAAAATGATTTGGGTGATCACATAGAATAACTGACCAACACACTGCCTTCAAAAGTGGTCATACCATCACCTGCCTAATAAGACCTGGAGAAAACTACATCAGAGACGTGGTAAGGGACAAGATTCAGCTACTTTCTTTGAGACAAAGCCAAGAAAGAGAAATGATTGATCTCAGTAACTGCGGTTAACTGAAGAGGGCAACAGGCATTTTATCTTCAAGAATCTGGAGTCCTTGAAAAACAGTATTGGTTTTCATAACGTAAGAGTGAAATCACTTATTTAGGCAACTGATTTGTAGAATGCTTGAGGAATCAATGTCATGTCATAGTCTACAAATTTTCTCACAACTCGGAAAACTTTTCATACATTTGGGAATTGACTTTTTTTCCTCCAGCAGAAGGGTGGTCCAGTAAGGTTCACTGGACTCCTTGTGTTAAACACATTACCAGACTTTTGGGTTTCACAGTCCAGAACATTTTTCAAAAATATATTTGGCTCCAACACAGGAGTGGCCAACTTTCTCCTTTTGTGAATTAAGGACATTTAAGGAAGAAACCAATCAAACAAAAAATCAATTGTATGCTACTAATAATGTTCTATTTCTTGATCTGGGAGATAATGGCATATAGGTATGTTCACTTTGTGATAATTCACTAAGCTATTTGTGAATATCTATGTATATATTTTTCAATAAAATTTTATTTAAAAAATACCATCTACTACCACAACTTTTCATAGAAGAAAAACTTTTCATAGAAGAAAAACTCATTTTAAAATAAAAAGGACGAAGGGTTTAATCTCAGGCTAAAATAGGGGTCTTTAAATGGAGTTTTCAGCTTTGTTTTTAAAACATATATTGTCTTTTTTTTTTTAATTTGTACCAGAAAAAAACATTAGTGCACAAATGCTGTTCCATAGATTGGTATTGGGGAAACAGTGATAGGTAATAACTGGTAACATCTGAGTGCTTAATATGTGCCAGCAAGTATTCCAAGTGCTTCAGAAGAATAAACTCATTTTTTTTCCAAAACAATCCTCTGATAGGTACTATTAGGATACCCTTCACTTCAATGGGAAAATTGAAGTAATCGAGACAGAACATCTCCCAAATCCCATCACATCTACCCACCTATTAGCATCTGCACTCCTATACCCAGCTTTCCCTCCTGGGGACGGCCAACCTGTTTATACTGGTACACTCCATCCCATCCTCTTGCTTACTCAAGGACATTGCTCCAGCAATTTACCACCCCCTCACTACCAACAAGTTTTCTTTTCCACTGGATCATACCAACATGCTGTTATTTCTCCCATCTTATGGAAAAAAACAAACCAAAAAAAACCTCTCACCTCTAATTCCCCTCCAGCTACCACCCATTTCTCTATTCCCCTTTACAGCAAAATTCTTGGATGAGTTGCTTATATGCTTTGTCTCCAGTTCCTCTCCTCCCAGTCACCCAAATCCAGCTTTCACTCTGACACTCACTGAAACTGCTCTATCCACATTCTCTACCCAGACTACTCCCTACTGGAATATTCTCTCCAATATTCACATGGGTGGAGCGTCACTTCCTTCAAAAAAAAAAAAACCAAACCCGTGGCCATTGAGTCGATTCCAACAAGTCCTTGCTCAAAAACATCATCTTCTTAGTGAGGCCTGGAACACCCCATCTGAAATTGTACCACCACCACTACTCTACCCACATCTAGAGATGCAAGTTAAGACACAGCATGGCCAGTTAAATTTGAATTTCAGATGAATAATTCTTTAATGTATGTCCCATGCAACACTTGGGGCATATTCATACTATGATGACAGCTTCATGGATGAGAATCAGCATAAAGCTCTCAGAAGGCAGAGATCAATCATATCCCTGTTTTCCCACTTCTTGTCATTTCTGACATCCGCCACTCACACAACACTTGGGGCTAGGTCAGACCTTACAAGTTAAACAGGACACTGTCCTTGGGTTTGTTAAGTCACTGGAACGATTCACAGTATTCACAGAAAATATTATACTTACAACTACTGGTTTTACTATAGCAAAAGGATATAAATCAGGATCACCATAAGGAAGACACGCACAGGTGAGGCCTGGGAAGGTTCCCAACGCAGAGCTGCCTTGACTCAGAGAGGGCGTTTCACCCTCCCTTCGAAGAACAGGAAGCTCTGGGCTGCAGGGTTCTGGGCTTTTATCGGTCAGTCCTGCATGAGGCTAAATCACAACTCCTGAGGCTACTTGGTATCAGCCTCCCAGGTGAGTCTTTTCTGGTCTTGCTATACAAAGCACAGTTAAAATATGTGGGGAGGGTTGCCAAACAGATTTACCAAATAAAAATACAGAACATCCAGTTAAATCAGAATTTCAGATAAACAACAGATATATATACCTGTATTTTTTAAGTATGTGTGGGGTAAAGGACCTACTTTTACCCTAAGTAGTACCCTTTGTGTTTGGCTCCGGAAAAGTAACCCCTGAAGTAATTGGGGGTGCCTTGTCTGGGACTTCCAGACCATTCAGAGCACAGGAGATAAAAATAAAGCACTCTCTCTCCATTTACTAGAGCGTTATCAGATATAATATTGGTTTAGTTTTAACAATATTTTTAACATTTTCTCCTAAGAAATTTAAACCTAACAGATCCTCTGAACATACCCTCCACTCTAGACCTACTAGTCTCCCATCTTTCCCATGAGTCTACAATGGTCACTAATTCCAAGCCTAATCCATGTTTTTGCTGTTGTTCAAAATTGTTTCTCCCCCCCAAAATTCTTATCCTTCTGTACTACTACTCTTTGTTCTCTGAATTCCTAAAAACACTCACCAGTTCTTTTAGCTGGAAATACTCCCTCCTTCCTCTTTAGTCACCTCTCACCTATGCCTTTGGCCCCTTACCACTTTCTCCTCGGTGTATTTTTTTTCCAACGTTTTATTATGAAAAATTTCAAACATATAGGGGAACAAAACAAGCAAAACAACCCACAATACTATCTAGATTCAACAAATGGTAACATTTTGCCATCTTCTCTTTATCTATCCTTATATCCTGAATTATGTTTCTGGAGGATTCGGGGGGGAGTGTCCTTCACCTACATGGTAAAATAACAAAGTAGTGAATCGGAGCCCAAATACAAGGGTAAGTCAAAAAGTATTCCTACTAGGGTCCCAGTTAATACATGCATGCGTTTATTCCTAACAAATATGTGTTTAAACATGTCTGTCATCAGTGGGTGGCTGCAGGCAAGTTCTCTCAGTAATACATTTGTCTTAGCCTTGTTAGGGTACCTTCCGAAAAAGGGATACTTTTTGTGCCACAGAAAACAACGATTTTGAGGTCAGGGCTAATATCAAATTTTTAACAAAATTCAAACGGACATCTTCCCAAAATCACTGAAGCTTTGCAACAAGCTTATGAGAACGCTGCCCCACATAAACAACAGGTTTTAGATGGATCAAGCATTTTAAGGAAGGTCGGGAAGGCCTCAAAGATGAGCCAAGAGAGGGAAGACTCCTCAGAAGGTTATGGTGACTGTTTTTTTGGATTACAAAGGGGTAACGTTGATAGATTTTCTTGAAGGACATAGGACGACCACAGGGGCTTATTACAAAGAAGTTTTAAGAAAACTGAAGACTGCATTGGTGAGAAAAAGGCCAGAAAAGTTGCGCCAAGGAATTTTTTTTCCATCATGACAAGGCACCTGCTCATTCTTTGAGGGTAGTAAGGGCTGTCCTATGAGAATATCATTGGGAAATCTTACCCCATCCACCCTACAGCCCTGATCTTGCCCCTTCAGACTTCTTTTTGTTCCCAGAACTCAAAGAACATTTACAAGGAACACAATTTGAGTCGCCAGAGGATGTCAAAACTGTTATTTTGACGTGGTGTAACACAAAGAGCACAGAATTCTATGGGGAAGGGTTAGAGAGATGAAAACATCGCCTTCAGAAGCGTATAGACCTAGATGGAAGATATGTCGAGAAACAATAGTTTCACATTTTGATATTTTTGTTTAATAAAGGTTTCTATGAGTTTGTACCAATACTTCGTGAACTACTCTCATGTATCATTTCCTGTCCTCTCAGGTAAGTAGGCCTTCTCTCCTAAACTATACTGTAAGCCATGTACTATACAGAAATGCTTGGGTGTAACTATAGATTTTATAAATAACAAGTCCTCATATCTGTATTCTTAGTGCCTAGAGCAGGTAGAGCCAAGGATAGAGCAGGCATTTAACAAATATTTGTTAAATTAAAGGGTAAATCTGTCACCACTTCGTCCAAAGACTGAAAATTCTTCCAAACTATGTAGGAAATATATAACCTTCTAAATTCGAATCATAAGACAAACATAATCTTGTTATATGAATTAGTACAAAAAAGACAAGTTTATTTCTGTAATTCTTTATTAAAAATAATGCTGTACATGTAAAGACTGAAAAGAGGATTAAAGATGAATAACACATATTGGGACCACGACATTAGAAGTGAACATACTGGTGCTTTTTAGGGAAGTTGCTGACATCCAAATCACAGAACCAAGGTCAAAAGCAAAATACAAAGGTACCCTCAGAAATATTTACAATGAAGTAAATACACTAACAGAATTTAAAATAGGTACAAAAAATTGAAATGACCAACGTTACATGATTTCAAGGGTTGTCCTTTCTGTTCTTTAATCTGTGATAACAGGAAGGTATAGGGAGTTTATATCCTTAATTTGACTGTTCTCAGATATTCAAATCTTCCTATGAATTCAACAGACTAGCTTTTAGACAACCTCTTAAATGCAATTATACCTTGGAAAAAAAAGAGGGCTCCCCCAAAAACACCTAAGCAAAACGGAGTTCTTTTTGAAAACCATTCCCAATAAAAACGAAATGAAAAATAAATATAAAACAAAGCTAAAAAAATATGAATTACCTGACACCAACTGTTTTTTCCGGCTGACAATATTTACTCATGAAAACCTATCAGCTGTCCACCTTTTATAGTCAACCAAGTCCTGAGGTTACTAGGGGCTGAAGCAAACTAGCACTCATGATACAAACATTCTTGGGTTTGTGATTTGAACTTGCCTTGCAGAGGAAAGTTTGCTGGTCTATTCAGAAGGAAAAATTCAAGCCCTATTTGACCCCTGCCCTTCCTTACCTTTCACAGAACATTGGTCCACAAATTAAATTTTCAAAAAGTTCCCAAACCCTAAAACTAAAATAGATGATCCCCTTTCATTTTCAAAGAAAACAATATTGGAAAAAATCTCCAGCCCGCTTATAAATTAAGCATTTCATATTTCTTCTAGAATACAAGTAGTTCTTTTTTGTACAAAAGAATTACAATATGATTTGTCAAAAAACATATAAAAAGACAGCTGCTCTTCCTCAAATACATGAGCTAATAATGATAAAAGACTTTTGCATGTTAATGTCTCCAAGTTCTTGTTCCTTTTACATAAAAAAAGAACATTATGGTGGCAAATGTGAATTATCCTTTGAGTACTGAACATCATGTTCTTTCTAATCCATCAATATCAAATGCAATAATTGATCTTCTTTTTAACTCAACAACTGATGCTACCAAACGTGGACCCAACCACGCTTCGTAAAATGTGTAACGCGTGTCTCTAGTCTTCAAAGCTTTCAGGTGAAGAGAGGTGCTTTTTCTTGATGCAAATCTCAAGGCAGAGAAAATCATTTTAAAGCTTATAAAAAGTGGAGAAATATTAAAAACTCTGAAAACTACAAATATGTGTAATTATTAAAATTGAAGACAGTAGCATCAGTTCCAAGTGCCTGGAAATCTGTCCTGACCTTTCGAGTCTCCACATTTTCTTCATAGTTGCATGGTGAGCACCCAGTGCTAGTAAAACATCCAGTGCTGGGGAAGGGTAGACAGTCTTCATTGCTGTTTTTTAAGAAAGAAAATTCCTATGTATTTGGCAGCCTTCAGTATCAAAGTTAGGTATTTCATTAACTATAAATTCCAAGTTTGGCGACAACTGCATGTCCAAATATTAAGAAAGTTAAGAGGAGGAAATTCCAAAATTTTGAGATTGACTTATTTGGGAATATCCCACATAGTGTGTTATTATCAAAAGTACTATTACTTTGGGCTAAGCAGTGACTGCAAAGGCACAGCAGATCGGTATCCCTCCAGATTCAGGCTGTAAAACTTCAGAAAGCTCTTGATGCCAGACCACTGCTGTGTTTAGTTAATCTTCTTAACAGTGTCTTTGTATCTGTATCCAGTGTAAGTACCATAATAAAGCTGTGGTTCAAAGAACAGAACTTTATACAAAAAAAAACAAACTGTTAATAACCTAAAGTAACACATTCCTGAACTTCAGGCCTTTAACACAATTTCTTAATTTTTTTCTGTATTTAAAAAAACTGCATAAATGTAAATGCATCTGACTAGCAGGGAAACATACCTTTTTTTTTTTCCCCCTTAAAGGCTCAGCTGAATTTGGAGCAAAGAGCTGTTTACGCTCCTTCAGTTATTGTTCATCCAATCCTTGCTCAGGAAGGACTTAAATCAACTGATAGGGGAATTCGTATCCAACAATTCACTGATACTTCTCTTTGTGTGTTCTTCAGACAAAACAAAACAAAAATCTCAATTTGAACTAACAGCAGGTGGCATACAGAGCTTGCATACGATACGCTTACAAGAATTCTGCACTATACTGTATTTCTATGACATTTTTACCTGGTCCATTATGTTATTCAGGGCAACCCATCCCCAAAAGAGCAAATTCTGCAACCCTCAGCGACACAAATGCTGCCCAGCATTGTTTCCCAAAAATGTTTTCGTAAATAGTTTCCCTTAATAAGTCTACATTGTGGCAAAAGTTCAAAGACTGAAAAAAAGTCTTTAAAAAATTAAAATTAGTGCATATACAAGTGGAGGGGGAAAAAAAAGCAGGAACATCATTCACCTGATGGTGTTCCTTAATCTAAAATAAATTCTTCACAGATATAGCCTCCAACGGCAGCCATAGCTCTAAGGTAACAGTGTACCTGACTGAAGTGCAAGCAGCTCTGCTCATCTCCTGTTTGTTTCCCAAATGTGAAGTGAGATGATGAAACAGTTCAGCTGTAGTGCAATTTGCTGTTGGTTAAGTTCCTCAGCAATGTCCTCCGGGTATTTTTTTTTTTTTTTTAAGCAAATACTACAACTGACCGTTTGCAGCTGCTATTAGTTCTTGAAAAGTATTTTCAAAGCAGCGCTTTAAGTCACTGTAAGTCACCACAAGTACACTCTTCTCGTCTCTGGAAATGAGGCTTATTTTCTCTGGCACACCAGCATCTAGCTGAAACAGATATACACACAAAATGTGACGTTCATACTACACAGAAGAGGATCTACTTTATCTACTTCAGAAGCACACTTGCAATGACAGATGAAATATGTATTTTTTAATTTTTGCCACATTCCTTTTCAGATATCTATAAATATTTTACCATCACTTACCAGTATGCACACAATTTTCAACTCAGAATTTTTTCAAACATAAACACTACTCTATGTTTCTACCTATCCTTTATACTTAATACTTACATCCATTGTATTACATCCAGTTGTTTTTACTACTATCTTTCAATTTTTTTGAATCATGAATTACAGGGCAATAAACATACTTATCTGTTTTTTAATTCTGCAGAATTACTTCCTTAGGACAAATTCTTAAAGGTAAATAAAGCATTAACTACGAGTAATTTTATACCTTAACACATATAACCAAATTACTTTCCAAAGGATATCAATTACAACAGCACTAACTGATGACTTGTATCAATTTACCAGCAACCTTCATATCAAAACAGTGTCTTGCTAATCTGCATCTTTCATTAACTAGTAGTATCAAATTTATTCATATATTTACTTTTGTTATTTCCGAGTGTGTGAATGAATGCCTGTTTACGATCTTTATGCTTATCTTTTAGGATTTGGCAATAATATTTTAATAAAATCTTTATAAAGCATAAATACTAATCCTTAGTTCATCGAATGTCTTGTTGTGGTTTTCACTTTATTTTTGTTTTGTCAGCTTTCAATATACTTCTTTTTTCTTTTTAGTTAATTCATTAATAATACTCACTCTGAAGGCTCAATCTTTCAAGTCATTTCACCACTTAATTTCTGTCATCATTTTCACCAAAATAAGCTTATGTCAAATTTAATTTTTATATAACCAATATGGCCATCCTTCCCTTTTTAACTTACTATGCTGTTTCCAACCTTTGAAAATTGTCACATTTTTAGATTCAGGATAGATTTTATTTATTACTAGTTATTCTATAATATAAAGTAGTATTTTCTTCAAATTTTCAATTGTCATCATATTCATTAACTCATTTTCACTTAAGGTATCTGTCTTCAGTTTATTCTTTAGGATCTATTTGTCAGTGTTTATATTAGTTCTAGTTTTAATTACTGGTGCTTTGATGCTATGTTCTAAAACCTAGCAGAATGACTCTCCACTCATTGCTCTGAAGTGAAAAGTTTTCACTTTAAGGGAAATGAAGATGGAAATGTGTATACCTACTCCTCACTTTGACTATCTCGTTATCCAACATTTTGCATTTACAACAATAGCAAAAATCTACTATCCGACTATTTTGTGCATTAAAGATGTACGTCTAACAGTAATGAATACCAAGGTGCAGGGTGAGAGTAATGCTGGCTGTGATAGTTAAGATTATGTGTCAGCTTGGCTAGGCTGATGATTCTCAGTGGTTTGGCAATTATGTAATGATGTAATTTGGCAGTTGCACAATGATGTAATCTGGCAGTTATATAATGATGTAGTCATCTTCCATTTGGTGATCTGATGTGGTCATCCTCCATTTTAGCATAATGTCGATTTTCACATAATGACCTGGTCTTTGGAACCTACCCATGTTGAAAAGTGAGGTGTGGGTGTATATAAATTAGGCTGGGTAACTTCAATGGTATACCCAGTTTTGTGCTGTCTTAATGTAAGTTTTTGACTATGCTCTAAAGAGTTCGAAGGCAACTCAGATAAGGCAAAGTAGAACTTAAAAAAACACACCACCACAATGTGTTCCTGAAAGGTTACAGCACTGTACATTATTAGTTCCAAATCTTGTGCTACAGTACGTAGTTTATTCTCTAATTACTTATGATTTAGAAGGAGTTTAGACCAGGGGTCAGCAAATGTTTTCTATAAAGGAACAGAGAGAGAGTTAATGTTTCAGGCTTTGGGGGCCACATACAGTCTCTGTCACATATTCTTCTTTGCTCTTTGTGTTTTTTTACAACCCTTTAAAAACTCTTAGCTTGTAGGCTGCATAAAAACAGTCTAGGTTAGATGTGGCCCACGAGCCATAGTTTGCTGACCGTTGGTTTAGAAACTAACCTGTATAAAGATTATGATTTACCTCTGGAGCCTGGTTCTAAGTTGTGTAATTCCAAATAATTCATCAGGAAAATGCGTTCCTTCCTCTTCTGCAAATTGGATCTCTCCCAGCCCTTTGCAAAATGCAAATCTCACCTCCATCTAGTTAATTCATCTAATCACTTAATCCCCTATTTGTAATAGCTGGGCCTACTGATTGTACCTGTAGCATGCCTGTAGTTAATAATAATAAACAAATAATACCATGCAGAACATTTTATATGATTCACAATGACTTAGAACAAAGGGATTCAATTTGTAAAAAATATTTAAGCACAAGATTATTTTACTGTTTGTCACAGTCAATGTTTTATTTGGTATAACAAAATAACACAAAGCATAGTGTAAAGAGGGAAAAGCAGTCTTTTGTAACATTTTATCACAATAAAACAATGTGCAATAAAAAAACTCTGCAATTATTTCTGCAGGTGTTAAAAAATACTCCTATAAAATGTTATTAAGATAAACTAATAGGTATTAATAAAATGTCTTTGCAGGCTACAGTAAAAGTACATCCTGATTCCTTAAGTCTCTTAATATTTGTAGAAGATGCAACTCTATGAATTGTAGACAGCATGATCTTAAGAATCCAGATATAAATTACCTTGTTAAGACAAGAAATGATATGACTGAGGTCAATCCAGGGAGCACCCGCTTCTGTCACCTGATGGAAGAGATGATCCCTAAAGAGTTTCAACAGATAACGGTCTCCAGTCTCTGACCAGGTAGGATCCTTCTGAAACCTAGGAGAAGTTAATATGGTGATACGTTAATTCTTCACATCTGAAACTAGTTTAATTTTTTTTTTTTCTCCAATAAGTAAGGAATTAGGGTTTTTTTTGTGCAGTATTCTTAAAAATCCTTCAATAGTAGTAGAGAAGTTAAAAAACATATTTATTTTTTCACATTTTGTTATATCCAGATTACTGATGGATTTTTTAAAAATAATCTCACTGAACATGAAATTATATAAATTCCAATTTTAATTTCCCAGCTCACAAGTATAATCACCTCTTATGCAGATCTGTTTTAAACTATGTGCTTTACTTAAGCCCCAATCATAGATAAAATGGAGAAGAAAGCAAAATGTCTCCAGACATCTTTAGGCACAGGTTGAGTGAGAATATCCTTTTTTAACTCCCACCTTTAGGTTACAAATTAGAGAGATGGTCAGCCAGATGCTCCATTTTATAGATGAGCATAAAACAGAAACATATTTAGGAAACAAAAAGGGGTTAGATTTTAGTTTTATACATTTCATCTGAAAGCAAGCTGCAAAGAACTGAAGAAATGACCAGATGACTACTGTTAGCTTTCAGTGACCTTTGGAACTTACAGACTAGTGGGGAAAACAGATGCTATTCAAATAATCGTAAGTTACGTACTTAAATAATGCTATTAAAAAAAAGGGATACGGTAGACATCAGAAACATTAATTTCTTCAGAAAGGCAAGGAGGGTTTCCCAGAGGAAGGATGCTCCTTAGTCAGAAAGATCAGCATCTGCATAGAACAGAGAATGCTGCACTTAACTTTAAGAAAAGACAGTCACTGGATGGGGCTGGAGGAGACAAAAGAGAGAATATAAGTGGGAGGGAAGACGATGAGAGCAAGGAGGGAGACAGAGAAGACAAGCAGGGAAAAGAGTAAGAGAAGGCAAGAAGAGAGGACAAAAATTAAAAGATAAAAAGAGGAAGCTCTAAAGCAAGGGTGAAGAGTAGACAGGGACCAGACTATGCAGCCTTAAAAACCTGCCACCATCGAGTCAATTCTGACTCATGGCGACCCCATGTGTGTCGAGTAGAACTGTGCTCCACAGGGATTTTCAATGGCTGATTTTTCAGAAGCAGATCAACAGGGCTTTCTTCCCAGGTGCCTCTGGGTGGACTCAAACTTCCAACCTTTCAGTTAGCAGCTGAGTGCATTAACCATTTGCACTACCCAGGGACTCCATGCAGCCTTAGATCATGTCAAAAAACTGGGTCTTTTAAAATCAAAACATTAGCTACACAACTCGAACAAAGAGAAGAGCAAAAGAAGCCCACAGCCACCAGAAGAAAGGAAATAATAAAGATTAGAGCAGAAATAAATGAAACAGAGAATCGAAAAACAATAGAGAGATTCAACAAAACCAAAAGTTGGTTCTTTGAAAGGATCAACAAAATCGACAAACCACTGGCCAAACTGACAAAAGAAAAACAGGAGAGGACGCAAACAACCCAAATAATAAATGAAATGGGGGACATTACAACAGACCCAACTGAAATAAAAAGGATCATAACAGAGTACTATGAAAAGCTATACTCCAACAAATTTGAAAACCTAGAGGAAATGGACAAATTTCTAGAAACACACTACCTACCCAAACTAACACAAAATGATGTAGAAAATCTGAATA